GATACCTTGTCAGAGGTACACTGTCTGCTTTTGGTTGATCAATGGGGTATGGGTTGTTATGTCAGGTGGGTGTCACCTAGTAGTGGAATTAGAAAATCATCAACCAAGGGCCCAGCATAGTGGCTCACATCTGCAATCCCAGGGCTTTAGGAGGTCAAGGTGGGAGGACTGCTTGTGGCCAGGAGTATGAGACCAGACTGGACAACATAGGAAGTCCCTGCCTGGTGACACACACCTACTGTAGCCACAGCACTCAGGAGGCTGAGGTGGGAAGATCACTTGAGCCCAGTAATTTGAGGTTATAATGAGCTGTGATTATGGCATTGTACTCCACTCAGGGCAACAGAGCAATATTTGGTCTCTAAAAAAAGTTAAAAAATAATTTAAAAAGTCACCAGCCATCAGGCATCGGAAAACATTTAATGGAAGCAGAATAATGGGATGATAGCCTTCCTAATGCTATGGAAGACCAAGGAGTACTTCACATTCACATAGTTCATTTTTTTTTTCTTCATGCATGCTGGTACTGAGGTGGTTGCAAAGATCTAACAGACAGATGTTACCTGAAGGAGTTTATGGTCCTGGAAGAACTAATCACCTTTGTGAATGTGTGATTAATAGAAAATAGCATGATAACCTGTCATAAAAGAAGTATAGTTAAGTGCCATAAAAATCAAATATATTATTAAGATAAATCTTCTAGAGAGGTATAGATATGAGTATAGGTAAAATGCTATTGAAATATGTAGGAAGAAGAGATTACTTCTGATTTTAGACTTTAAAAGGAAGTGTCATTTAAAATGGAGTCTGAAAGAGAGAAGTTATATCTTAAAAAGATTTAACTGGAAGCCATTATTTTTAAATAGATTATTATTTCTTATTACTAAGAAAGTGTGGTATTATGGAAAGAACATGGGCTTTGGAATGAGACTTGTCTGTACATGTCTACCATTTAATAACTGTCACACACCACATTGCTTCATTCTTTGAACTTCAGTTTTCTTAAGTGTAGCACCATAGAAGAGTTGTGATGATCTAAATTATTAGATGGGATTATATATATTTGTGTGTGTGTATATATATATATACACACACACACACACACACACATATATAATTTTTTTTACACCTGTATAGAGTTTAT